AAAATTTTAAACTATTTATACAATTATGAATATTAATGCAATTTTTATGATATTTTCAAGTTTATTTACTATTTAACTCTTTGTTTGCTAACAAAAACTAGGCTAAAAATATAGTAAAATGTGGATTTATCAATAGGTCTAGCTTTTATTAGGATATCTTTTTCATTAAAATTTTCTTCATAAGATAGACTTATTTTATATTGTTTTCTAGAGTAAAAAGCTATTAGATTTGTTTCACAAATTTCTTCATTCTTTTCTCAAAATCTTTTATAATTTTTTGTATTTTTAGAATTTTAAGTTTTTGTTCAATTCTTTTATATTTTATTTCTTCATTTATCATTTTAATTTATTTTGTTTTTCTCTATTAAATTTAATTTAGAAATTGAAGCTTCTTATAGAATATTTAATTCTCTAATCCTAGGAGCTTTTATAAATTTAAATTCTATTGATTTTTCTTCTACTACATTACTTATAATTCTTTCAGCTCCTTTTGATAACTTATATTGTATATACATTTTATATTCATTAGCAAAGAATAATTTTCTATTATTTTTTCATAATATTTTGTAGGGATTAATCTTTCTTGTATATAATTAATATCAGCTCCTGAATTTATTAAAGTTATCATATTAAATTTTTCTCTTTCTGTTACTAAAGTAACTTTGCACCACCATTTATGAGTTGTTAATAATGTTAATAATTTTAGATTAAATATTTGTGGTTTTTTTCTTTATCATTACTTGTTTGTCCTTTTAGCATGTTTTTTTCCTTCAAATTCTAATAATTTGAAATTTTAAATTCTAAGATTGTTTGATTTTGTTTTAGCTCCCTTATCTCTTTTTTTAGATTCTTTATTTCTTCTTGTAAATCTTGAATAGTTATACTTGCATTAGGTTGTTTAAATTTTTAAACATATCTTTCATTTCTATTAGTTTTATTTCTAAAAGTTTTTCTTCTTCTTTTTTAATTAAATTATTTAATTTTTTAATAAATTCATTTCTCAATGGTCCCTCTTCTAATTCTTCAATTAATGTTATTAAAGTTTATGTCTAATCTCTGGTTAAAACATTTATTAAAGTATTGCTAACTGATAAACTTCATTTTCTAAAGTTTTTCTTCATATGAAATTTCAGTTTCAGATTCTTCTGGTTTAAAGTTTATTAATATTGTTATTAGGACTTGTTTTAGTTCTTCACTTTCTAAAGAATTAATTTTCTTTTCTACTTTCCATTAGTCTATGCTATGTTTATATTTATCGTACTTTTAGTATGTTCCTTTAAATTTATTATTCTTTTGATAATTTTTATTTTTTTTAGGCTTATTACTTGTCTAATTATTTTTATAATTCTTTCTATATTTTCTTGTTTTATAAGTTGGATTATTTTGAGACTTTGTATGCTTTTTATTTTATTTTTTTTTGTACTTTCTATTGGGAGCTTGTACTGATTCCATACCATATTATTCGTAAAAAATTTCTAATTCTCTTCTTTCAATTAGTTTTTCTTTTCTTGTTTGGTTTTTTAATTTTGTATCATTACAAACTCTTAATCTTGTTTCTACTATTATATTGTGTATTTGTCCAAATATTAAATTTTCATAATTTATTCTTCCTTCATGTCTAAATTCTAAGTTTTCTAGTACCTTTCTTGACAATAAGGTTAGCAATGTAACTAAACCTTTCTTTCCTGTAAGGTGCAACTGCATCTTCTCTTAACATTACTTTAGAGAAAAATATATCTTTATACCATTGATAATCTGACATTGTAAGACATTTTAAGTTAGCTAATTGTATTCCTGCTATTTCTTTAAATAATGTTAGATCTCCTATAAAATTTTGTATTATTGAATATATTAACATTACTATCACACCTTATTCATTATTTTCTTGTTTTATATGACATAATATAAACTCTTTATCACTAGGATTTACATGATGATCCTACCATCTTCTTAATTGTCTAGTGAAGCCTTATAGTAAAGCTTCAACTGCTCCTTTGTCTATTACCTTTTTAAATTTATAAGCAGTTACTGCTATTATCATTTGTTGTGTCATATCTAATATAGTTTGTTAATTTAAATTATATAAATTTTATTCTACTATATGAATTTTGTACAAAACAGGGCCTTTGTTTTGATAAAACACATGGTAAAGTTGGTCTATTATGGTACGGTTTTATTTTTGGATAATTATTATTAAACTTTATTTTGTTTACCTTTGAAACTGTTTCTGTTGTGTTTATGGTAGGTTTCTCTATGCTTAACTTAGCTATTCTTTCTTTTTATTCTTCTATATATAATTCTATTCTTGTTTTCTTTTCAAATTCTTTCATAGTTTCTAGGGATAATTTAGTTAGATTATAGATAGGTTTTTCTAAATAACTTATTTTTTTTTAAATTATTTAAATTATTATTCGAACTACTACTTCCTTTTTCTTTATGTTCTATTTTAGTTAAATGTTTTGTCATAACTTCTAATACTATATTTGAATAATTTAATTTTTAATGTATCTTATTTATGTCATTTTTATCTACAATTTTATCTAAAGGATTTGTTATTTTTTTATATGGACTTGCTTCTACTTTTTCATTTTCTATTTTTATTTTTATTTTTTCATGTGGGGTATGCTAATTCTATTATTTTTCCTATTACTATCTTCTAAGGAGTTGTAATTTTTTATAATGGATTAATTTATTTTTCAAAGGGATAATCTATATTTTCTTTTAAACAATATTGTTCTAACCAAGGAAAGAAATGTACATTTATTTCTATTTTTCAGATATTCATAAAATATTATTCATATTTTTTATCTTTTCTCCTTCTGTTAAACTTTTTAGAAAGCATTCTTTAATTTTTATATTATAGTTTGCTTATATCTCGTGTCTTGTCCAAATTTTTATCTATTATGAATGATTCTTTTTTTCGTTAAAGTGTTAAGTACTTGAGATTTAGTAGGATTATAATTATTTTCACTAGTATTTTTTACTAATACTAGCTCATATATGGATATAGATATTCTTGGTCTAGTTGTATTATCTATTCCTCTTAAATCTACATTTATTATAGAATTATCTATTGAAAATTTTTATGATTCTCTTATTATTTGAGGATTTTGTATATTTATATAAGAGATCTATTCATTCTAAGTCTTACTTACCATTAAATTCTTCTATGATATCTCTTATTTCTATGTTGTATATCTTCTTAGATTTTTGTTCTTCTTGTATAATCAATTCTTTCAGAATCTTTAAGTCTTTATGTTTTAAATTTTTAGGGGCTTGAACCGTACTTCTATCTATACTAGCTTGTATTATTAGAGTTTCATCTTTATTGGTTTGCCTTTTAACTTGAAATTCATAATTTACTTTTATAATTTTATAATATACTTTATATATTAAATGGAAAGGATCATAAGATCATCTACTATATTGTCGGAGATTTTATAAATATTTTTATAGCTTTAGAAGTTTTTTTATTGTTTAGGCTCATAGAAAAATTTAGAAATAATTAAAAAAATTGGCCTATCATCAAGATTAGTTTCTCAAGCTACTATTATTGAATCTTTTATTCTTAATAATTTCATATCTATTAAAAGTACTAGAACAGGAAGATGAACTCCTAATTTATAGTTTAGTTTAATTGCTAATTGAATTAATCCTAGATGGATAAAGTTAAATCTGTCTTTTTTGTGTTTTTATATTACATGATCCCCTAATAACTGTATTTCTTTTTTCCTTTGAATTTTTGGATAGGAATACTCAATTTTGTGAATCTCTTCATTGTAATTAAAAGACCAGAATGACCTTTGTTGATATATATCTTTTTCTTTCATAATTGGTATAGATCAATCATGTAAAGATTTTTCAATATTATTAATAGTTATTTATTGCATGTTCCGTCTTCAACCATATCTCTTTTAATTATTTGATTATTCATTCGTAGATTTAACTTACTTATTGTTCTTAGTAGACTAGCCATTTTAAAATATTTAATCTTAACATAATGAAAATACTCTAACTGACCAACAATTTTATTGTCATTCTCTAAACTTATTACTTGAAACTACTTATCCGAACTTGCTAATATCTAATAAGTTCTCACTACTACCCCTAGCTTATAGATTTAGAAATAGTAATCTTATTAAGTACAATTCGTAGTCAAAACTAAAAATTAATATATTCTTTTGTTTCTTAAAATTAAAATTTATTAAGATATGAAATTAATTAAAAATAAAGCGCACAACATTTTGATTTTAAAATATTATAAATGATGAAATATTAAGAAGAAAATAAAATTTAAAATAATATATATATATATATATACACGTAAATACAAATTATATGAATTAATCTAAAAATATTTAATCTTAACTTACTTGACCCATGACTTAAATTAATCAACTAACAAGTTTAGGTTTAAAAGATTTAAATCTACTAGTAAGATATTGAATAAATAAAATTCTTTTTATTAAAATACATTTTTTATTATAAAACAACAAATAAGTATACTCTATAAATTTGTAAATCACATATGTTTAAAAAACAGATATTTAACTCCTCAAAGTTAAGAGTGTGTCGTTCAAAAATCTAAATGAATTACAAGTAAACAACAATTCATGTAGATACTCATTTATAATGACATTAAACGCATGCATGCATTCAAAGTCAACGACCCTGAAGATTGCATATTATGTATTAATTTATTAATGCCAATCCTTATATAAAAACATTTAAAATTTTACTTAATATAATAAATACTTATCATTAATAATTTTAATAAATTTTCTTTTTTGAAATTTATACAATTTATTAAATTTAAAAACAAATCATATAATACATTTTTAACTTATTATTTAAAAAATTAATTTAATAATACTAAGAAAAAATAATAGTTGAATAAGCTAAACGTGCGTAGTCTAAATAGCAGCCTGAATTGCAAGTCACACAAACATGCAACCATTTTAATATTTTAACTAATCTAACTCATCCTTAATAGGGACACCAAAAAAGAAAAAAAGGAGAGAGAAAAAGAAGATTGGAAAAAAGAAGGATTAAAATTGAATGCCCAAAAATGAAATTTCCCCAAATCTGAATGGGAACATTTGCCCTAACCCATTTCCCATTAATCGGATCCTCCACTTACGACGGTTCTCGGATCCTCCGATCATCGTTTATCTTCGCCGTTGGTTGAAACACCCTGGGGAAGATGGATTGCGGCGTGGGATCCATCGTTTGGGTGCGACGGAGGAACGGGTCGTGGTGGCCGGGTCAAATACTCGGCCCCGACGACCTCTCCGCTTCTCATCTCACCTCTCCTCGATCAGGAACTCCCGTCAAGCTTCTCGGCAGGGAAGACGCCAGCGTGTAAGCTTTCTTTCTCAATTCACTTCTTCCTCCACTTCACGCTTCATGTTTCTTAGTTAGCTAGTGAAGAATTATAATTTGCTGATATTGGTGGAGAGGTTGGGGCATTGTTTAGTTTCATTGAATTGTGTAAATGTATTAGCATTCTTAACTGTTTTTGTTGATTTCTGTTTTATTAGGGATTGGTACAATTTGGAGAAATCCAAGCGTGTCAAGGCATTTAGATGTGGCGAGTTTGATGATTGTATTGAAAGGGCTGAATCCTCCCAGGGGATGCCGTTGAAAAAACGAGAGAAATATGCTCGCCGAGAGGATGCCATTCTTCATGCTCTTGAACTGGAGAGACAAATGTTGAAGAAGCAAGGGAAATCAGGTATTACTTCTGATCAAATCAATTGTAGATCGTCAAATACTGTTAGAAAGGGCATAGGTACGTTGCCGTCGGAGATACTGGGAAATGATAATGAAAAACATGCAAATTCAAAGTCATTTATGGCTTGTGAAAATGAGACTACTGGAGGTTCTTTTCCTTTGGAGGTAGCCAAGGATGGCAGTCAACTGAGTGGGGAAGTAGATTATTCTGAAACAATACCTCGGATGAGAGACCTACAGGATTTTGGACTCAAAATTGCCCCCTTGAAAAGGAAGCTTTCATCTTCTTTTGATCCAAACATTTCTCAGAAACTTGCTGTTGATGATGGTGCTCGGGCTCTTGCAAGTGGTGATCTTTGCATGGGGACTACACTTCACATGAATGGTAAAATTCTCTAGCAAAGAAGGCCAGATGAGAGAGATTAAGTGAGAAGTATTTGAAAATAAAGAGGCATAAAAATCATTCCTATTTTGTTGTAAACATTGAGGATATGATTTAGGGTGTGATCTGACTATGGTTCTGTTTTCAGGAGCTGGGCAAGTAGGGGGAGCTTGCCGGGCAAAGAGGAGCAGATGCATGTATTTTCCAGTCGAGTCTAGTGATTCTCTTGATTATAAAGAGACTCTAGCCCATGTTGAGATGTCATCTTCCCAACTCAGAAGGGAGTTTCCTTATCATGGTTCTTTGTTTGGAGAGACTGAATCTGCTTTTATGGATGATGTTGGATCTGATTCTTCAGAAACAGCTTCTACTGAGTCTGATTCAGATTCTTCTGAGACAGAACCAGACATGGATGAAGAGATGACTATCTTTTCAGGTTAAGTTTCTGCCATTCTTATGCTAACCTTAGAAGTATGATCCATCATGCCATGTGTCTTTTTTTTTTTGGTAAAAAACAGCATATCTATTCTGCCAGCATCTTTTATTTAGTGACTTCACTATTTCTCTCACTTAAATATGTTTCTTGGCTTCTTGCACTGAAAATAATTGTTGGTTATTCTTGTGACATGATTGTATGGATATTGTAATGAATTATATGCTGGTCATTGTGTCTGCCTTGGATGCATTTGTTCTTCCTTTCTGCATTCCTTACTCGGTTTACTAATTGTAACTCTTAACTAGTAATTGTGGCAAATGGCTTAAAATTAGCTAAGTCCAGATGACTAAACCTCATCCACCTAAGATCTCTGTCTAATTCTCTTTTCATCTCTTCTAATGAAATCAACAAAAAGATTTTGGTGGCTGCCAATCTGCTACAAGAATTTAATTATATGATTCTAAGTTCTCCTACCTTTTTAAGCAACTACTGTACTTTTTACTTCTTACACCTTAGATAAAAAAGGTCATGATTGATAAAATGTACTATATGAACAATTCGATTTGCTCAGGCCTATGGACTGACATGCAGGAGGCGTCACCATCATGCATATTTTAGTTTTGACTGATTTTATGTAATGTAATTTGGTAGGTACTTCAAATTTGTGTGTTGGCATATGATCTAAGGATTCATAGCTTCATTTTTTATAACCACTAAGGATTCAATTTTTGTTTTGGACTATTTTTTAGCTTTCTTTCACATCATCCTTTGTGGATCTTCCCTGATGTTACTATAACTGCAGAAACTGGTCGTGGTGCTGAAGAACACGAAAGCACTAGCAGTGAGGATCCAGATGAATTAGCGATTTCTGGTGATATGCCTCACCTCTATCCTCGTGACCAAATTACATGTAATGAAGCTGTGTCTAAATGGAAACTAAAAGGAAAAAGGAATAATCGTAATCTTGTAAAGAGGTCTGTTGGTGCTTCTGATAGAAAATGTATTATGTATGGAGCAGAAGGTGATGCTGAAGGAAGAAGTTATTTGAACCACAAAAGAATGGGTCCAAGTTTCAATTGCTACAAAAATGATTTTAATGATGCTCTTGATGATGATGATGATGAAATGTTTGGATTGGAAGATGAATACTCTCTAGCTTCTAGAGCTATATCAAGAAGTCAAAATAAAATTCATCGTGGTGTTTCTTGGAATGATTGGGCCTGGGATGATCATCTTGCTTCTAAAGGATATTGGGATATTAAAGGATATTCTCCAAAATATGGTGATCGTCATCATTTTGGTGGGAAGATGAGGTCGATGCTAGTTAATGTAGATTTGAAGGTGCAAGCAAGCTATCGGAAAGAGCCTGTACCCATTGTTTCTCTCATGAGTAAGTTAGATGGGAGGGCAATAATAGGGCACCCGATCCAAGTTGAAGCTCTCAAAGATGGTTCATCTGATGTTCTATTTCCTGCAATGGATGACTTCAGTAATGATGGGATTGGTATTGAGGGAAGTAGTGTGCTTACACCAGCATGGAGTACTGCAAGGAGAACAGCAAACTTTCGCGTCCCACGATCCCATGTATCATCATCAAATGGTGCTGAAGTTGCTGCAGAGTTTCCTTCCTCAGATCAAGAACAAAACTTTGAATACAAAAAATTAAATGCCGGAAGTTCCAGTCACAAGGCTAGCTTTCAAAAGAAGAGTGCCCTTAAAAGTCATCGGTCTTCAGCTGACAAAAAGTCCTTAAAAAAGATGCCAAAGAAATTGAGTTTGTCATCTAGCCAGAAAACTAGAACTCTCTCCTCATTATCTACTGAACATAATCTTAGTAGAAAGACATTATTACATGATAGCGGTAGTTATCAAACAGAGAGATTGATTAAACCAGCAATATCTGGGCCCCCTACAGTAGCTTGCATACCAGTCCAGTTAGTATTTAGTAGATTACTTGAGAAGATTAATAGGCCTCCATTGAAAGCAGCTAATAATGCGGCTTTGCTGAATACTGGTGTGGAGAGAAATTCATAGGTTACATGTACATTATTACATGGGAACAATAATCTTACAGTGGTAGCACAATTTATTAGGGATATCTTGTTTCAAACCTAGGGAAGTCCTATTCAATTAATTGTCAGCATTGTGAGGATTAATATGCAGTATAGTTCCCTATTCATCATGTATCTAGTCAAGATAAATAACAAGGTACATGAAATTATTTAACTTCCTTGCAAGTGCACATTTTGACAGATCTTGGTGTCCGGGGATATACGGCTAGCTAGTTACTCAAATTCGTTTTCATTTACAGCTTATTACTAACTTAAATAAACTTTCACTGCCTCATTTGAAAATTGGTAGCTGCGGCTTTGTTTTACATAAACGGGTACATAACCGCAGGTCGCCTCGTTTGTTTGTGGTTCTGATAGATATAGGCCCGTTTTAGATAAATTCTTAGAAAAATTATTAGGTAATTTTCACCGTGTCTTGTAAATTAAGAAAGAAATAATTATTATTATTGATTTTAAATTAATAAATATTGGGGTTAGCAATTTATTAAAAAATATATAAATATTCTTTAATCCTTAAGATATTAGAAAAATTATAACAATAATTTTAAAGAGGATATACAATGCCTTTTTAAATTTACAAATACCATATCAAGTATTAAATTTTTATAGAAGAAAAAAATAATATAAAAAATGAATAACTTTTTTATAAGTTAAAATTAATTTATTCTTTTTTATTTTTTAAAAAACATTTTGGAAAACTCTCATTTAATTTCTCTAAAATTTTTAAAAATAAGATATTTTTAATTCACAAGATAAGTTGTATTATATTTTATATCAATTTTTTTTATAAAGACTTTTTAAAAATTTACTAAATTAGACTATTCAAATTTGCATTATAAACATGTTTTTGTAATTTTTGCGTTACTTTTTATAAATGTGATTTTTTAATTCTTGCTTAAGAGTGAATTGTACTTTTCCCTAGAGATAAGCTTAAATAAAAGTTAGTTATAATAAAATGAACTAATAATAAACCGAAATTTTTGTCCATAATTTGTATCAAACTTTTTGAAGAATATAATTATTAACCTCATATTTTTCACAATTCTTAAGCATGCTACTTTTCAATTTACAATCTGACAAACTAAATTTCATAAAACAATTTTTTCAAAGAATTTCATAGGTACGTTTCCTCTAATATAAATGAATAAACAAATACATCAAGATAATAAAATTAATAATATTTAAAAATAGGCCAAAATGGTAAATAGATTTGAGGACCAACAAAGAATTTTAAGCTTTTAAAATTTTAATTTTATTGAGAACTTTACCAATCATGGGTAGCCATAAAATTCTTGAATGTATACTCAAAATTCCAGAAATAATTTTACCCAAAGCTAACACATGTTGAAAACTTTTTTTTCTTTTTGGATAGAAACACATTTTAAATTTTTGGATTGGAGATATACCTCAAACAGTGCAAATATGAATTGTTCAAGGAGTGGGAAGCACTCCACACCTTCCCTAACTCAAAATTTATCCGAAAATTGAGTTGAAAAAGAAAATGGGTGAAACTAACGAAGGAAGAGGAGATTGCACAGATGAGTGAAGGAGAAGAAATAGGTTTTTATCTATTTTCTGATTCTTTCTTTTTTAATGTATATTTTTTTGGTAACTTACAATTACGAGTATCATTTTACAAAATCCTTTTCTCAATGTTAATATCTAAAGTATTATACTTTTATTATGTCTTCATTTTCATTTTCAAACAATCATACTTTATTTTTCAATTCTGGTAGCGTTTAACTTTTTCATTCATGTGTAATAACAGATGATCGAATAAAAATATTAATTTAAAAGTTATTTTTTTATTTTCATTTATTATTTTCAACAAAATAATTCACGATTTCAATAATTTAATAAATATATTTACTTGTAATTTATGTTCAAAATAATATTCAGATTCCCTCTTAAAAAATTATATTTTATTGACTTTTGCTTCTCCAACAATTACGAAGTGAAAATACTTTTAATTACTTATGTTTTTCTGCAATTTTATTTATGGAAAATAAGTATCATGCTACAAAATTGTATGTAAAAAAACTGTATGAAATTAACAATTTTCCATTCATTACATGGATATTTTTAATTTAAATAATGTTTATAACTAAAAACAAATAAATAATTTTATTATATTCAACAAAAATAATTTCTAGGACATCAAATTTTGCAACGAAAGAAAGTAATTAATTATATCAATTACTAATTCACTTCCTAGTAAGTTGAAATTATCGGGTTGCATATCTTTACACCAAGTTGCTGATACATGTGTGTTGATTGTACGGATATTTTTCACAAAAGAGAGTGATTAAGATATCACCAAAAAGAACCAATTTGAACGCACGAATTCAAATTTAAAACCGACGCTCTAACGGTCATATTCTCTAACGTCGTGTCGGATCAACGACCAGAGTGTATAAAAAAATAAATACCCACATCCATTCTCTTCCCCACACTCTCATATCGCCGCAATCTTCAAATTCCAAAACACACTTTTTTTGTATCTTTCTACAATGGATTTCCAAACCCTCTCAAGGAAACAGCTTCAGACTCTCTGCAAGAAGAACAAGATTCCAGCTAATATCACCAATGTAGCCATGGCTAACGCTCTATCTGCTCTTAACCATGTAAACGTTTCTTCCACATCTTCATCTCCTTGCTTTTTCTCAATTTTCTACTTTTCCTTGTTGAAACAAACCCTTCTTCAGTTAAAGGAAAAATATTAAAACTTTACATTGCGAACTGTTTTAACTGTTCTACTGAGTCCGTGCTGCTTTTGAAGTTACGAACACGTTGTGTTTTTTTCTGAAAAAATCTTGAATTGAATTGAATTAGGTTGAAGGGTTAGATGAGTTTTTGAATGAGAGAGAAAGTGGCGCTGGAACTCCAGAGATTCATCATCTTACGGCTACAAGAGCCTCAACTCAAAGGAAAGCAGGGAGAGTAGAAGCAGAAGGGTCTAAGGTGAAGGTGACTACCCGGAGTGCTAGAGCAGGAAATGCTGAAGCTCAAGAGAACAACGATGCGAATGTGGCTGTTACTCCTGCTGTAGTGGCAGTTAGCGGGAGAAAGACCACTGCAGTTTCTACTCGCAGAAAGAAAGAAGCTGAGAAGCTGGTGTATGATGATGATGATAAGAAAGGGGTTCAAGTAAAGCAAAGTGATGTGCCTAAAACACCTGCTGCAGCTCCAAGGAGTAGAACAAGAGGCACTGGTCGTTCGATTTGCATCAAAATGGAGAAGGAGAACTCTTCTGTTGCTTCACTGAACCGACCATATAACACAAGGAGGTCGGTGAGGTTGTTGGAGAATAGCTTGTCTAAGATGAGTTTGATGGATGCTGTAGACACGGGACTTGACAAGATTGATTATGTGTCTGAAGAACTGAGTAACGTCTCTCAGCAAGTTGAAAAGGGTACGTTGGATTTCCTTTTTCAATGTAATGCTTTTGAGTGATATTTATTTTAATCAACTAATTGTGAGTGTATGGTGCAGGTGCTAGTTTGCAGACTGCATCAATGGTTTCGGATTTGGAGGATACTCATGAATTGGAAGTTTCTTCTATAGAAAAAAATGCTGAATATGAATGCCTGTCACATGATTTGGGTTCAGATGAAAGATTAGATTCAGTGACAGAAAATGACAATGGGGCTGGGTTGCAGGCTGAACCACAAGTGGATGCTGAACCTGAGCCCCGGAAAGTAAATTTTTGTGAGGCTGAACTGCATGATTCAAATTTGGGACATGATTCAAATGAAGAAGGTTTGTTTTTCTTTCTTCTATTTGTTGAAAATTGTTTTGGTTTTTTCTTGTTCATTGATGACGGTGTTCTTCAGTTAAGTCATCTGAGTATGATGTTGATCACTTTGTAGGATCTGAGTTGTCACCTGTACTTGAGGAATCTTGTGATTCCACTGAACTAGTAACGAAAAATGAGGAATGTGTTGCAAATAGGCAAGATGCTTTGCCTGTGCAGGTGTCTGAAGATGCTTGTAAGGAGGTTACTGACCAAGATATCGCTGCTTCAACTATTCTGATAACTGATGATGTTTCTGTTGAAGTTATTGCTCAAGATGTTGCTGGTTCGCTAACTGTGTTATCCGTTAGTGACACTTCATTGAGCCTAACAAAATTAGTTGAATGCAACATTGAAGATCAAGGATGCAATGAGGGTGGTGATGATAAGGTAGATAAGAACATCGAACCACAAGAAGAGGTTGAACCGCATGACTCAACTTTAATAGTTGAGGGAGGTTCTGTCAGATGTGTTGATTCAGAAGAAGCAGGTTTGTTTTAGGTCTTCCCAACAGTTGTTAATTTGTCTGGTTAGTTTTTTTTAATTGATGATGTGCTTTAGCTAAGCTAATTGAGTATGATGTTTGTTGATTATTTTGCAGGAAATGTAGTGTCACCTTTACTTGAGGAAATAGAAAATAAGGAATTCGTTGGAGCAAGGCAAAATGCTTTGCCTGCGGAGGTGACTGACCAAGATATTGCCGCTTTGACTGTTGTGGTACCGGATGACCAAGGCATTGTCCAAGATGTTGCTGCTTTTATGGATGTTACTGACCAAGATGCTGCTTTGGTGAGACTAAATGAATTTGTTGAGTGCAACATTGATGATGAAGGCAGCAATGAAGGTGCTGTTATACAAGATAAGAATAATGAAACTGAACATTTTGAGCCAGTACATTATGTTGATGAAAAAGTAGTTGACGGAAAGGACTTGGCAAGTCCTTTAGGGGCTCCTGATGCTATTTGTGAGGATTCTGTAGCTATTATCGGAGTCTGCACTGAATCTTCTCCAGATGGAAAACAATGTATGGAAGTCAAGAATGTCAGTCTTGAATCTTCATTACTGGACATGGAGGTAGAAGAAGACCATAAGAATAATTCTGAGAACTTGGAAGATGAAGACAGTGTGTTGGACTTGGACACTACTAATGCATTTTCTAGTGTTCTAGATGGAATATGCAGTCCTCAAATCCCTCTTGTTCATCAACAGGTTTCAGTAGAATCTGCTGGAAGTCACATTGATTATTTTACTTCAGATGGTGTGCTGAATTGCAATTCCAACACAGTGGTTGATGATGTTGTTTCAGAAGATATTGCCATTTTAAAACAGGAGCCTTGTGTCTCGATGGAAACTATGA